AGAGAGAGAGAGAGAGAGAGAGAGAGAGAGAGAGAGAGAGAGAGAGAAACAGTCATTGTAAGGAGCGAATTTCTTCCGGATTCATTCTTTAATGGGCATGATTTATGCTTGTACCAAGTTGGGGCACCCACGGTGTGCATTGAGCTTCCTCGGGTAACAAAGTAACAACAATAATCATAATAATAATCATTATCTTGGTCATCTGTCTCATAAATGGTGTGGCAAATGGAGACTTAGCAGTTCCTTTCTGGGGAGAAGTTGTGTTGAAAGTCCTGAGTAGAAGCGTTAGACAATGAGTGGTGTGTGCGGCTACTGGCTTTCCAAGATACGAACGGCATATTTAAAGGAGGAGAAAAGACTGCGGATACAGTATATTGCTATTTGTAACAGAGTATTGATTACAGGTCAAAAGAGATCACAGAGTGGATAGGGAGGGAAATAGGGCTTTGGAAATAGGGCGAAGCGAGTGGAGAAGAGGGGTAAGCGAGGGAGGGGGGAACAGCAATGCACAAGTCGAATGCTGGCTCCGTCCACTTACTGAGCAGGCTAAGCGCCTTGGGAAGGCAACTTTCACATTTCAATGTTGTTGGCCAGCCAGTGGGAGCGCCGGACACGGACTCTCAGTGGGCTGGGGTGGGGGGGGGGTGAGGGACGCACTGAAAGCTGGAAAAAAAAGAGGAACGTTGGAACTCTGAAGCCACACAATGAAAGTTTCTTCCAGAGAAGTACTCTCGAGACAGACTTCAGAACTTTCCAAGGCATGAGCTGGAAGATCCCACCACTCCCGCCCCCCCCGGCCCCCCATCAAAGTTACATGATCACAACATTGCCCTTTGCTGGCCAGGCAGAAATTCAGGGATGCAGCTTGGTTGCAAATAATGCATGCGTCTGGTTTGCTTTGCAAGCAGGGAAATGGATCCAAATAGCTCCCTCATTGGCGTCTTGCAATACTATTTTTCCAAGTGGCCGCTTTGGGTTTCCCAGTTTCCAGCAGAAGTTCTTCCAAAGTCTGAAAGGTGCAGCACAGCTGGGCCCTCTTGTCAGGCCACAATAACGTTTGGCGCAGAGATGAAGAAGGCCGGGTTTGAATAAACCAGAAGACAAAAACTCCCTCTCACAATGCTGTGCCCGGCTTGTAGACTGGAGCCCCAGTCTGAAACTTCTCCAATGACTAGGGAGGTTTCTAGTGCCTACTTGCTCAAACGCTCCCCACCCCCAAAGAAAACCCCAAGGCTAGCTTTTGTTAACAAAAGCAAATAAAGCATACTTTCATATCTCAGAATTTAGGGGCGAGAGAAGAGGGCATAGCTCAGATTGGCTGAGAGCAGAGAATTCTCTTTTCTATGCCCATCTTTCTTGCCCTTTCCCATTCCAACCCCGCCCCCAAGAAAGAAAGAAAAAAAGACGAGAATGGGTGTGGAGTTAGGAAATATAGTTATTTAATTTTTAAAAAGAATTAAATGATCGGATATGTAGGCTAGATCCTTCGGGCGATCAAAGTGGATCGGGGAAGAAACTCTGGTGACTTTGCGTTTGTGAGCTCATCATGTACCGAAGGACGCTCTTGCACTGCACGTCCCTCACTCCCCCGACTCTCCCCTTTCCTCCCAGCCACGATTCACCCACTGCTGTCTGTTTGTCTGCAGAACTGCCTGGGCACCGGAAAAGATGACTGACTGAGAGCTTGGGGCAGGAAGCCATTCCATGATATGACTCAAATCTGAAGAGGTAAGAGGGCTCCAAATGCCTAACCTCCGTGGTGTGTCCTGAAATGGTATTGGCGTGGACTTTCCATGGGGGGGAGAGCATCATTTTCCCCCTCCTTCTTGAGAGGGGAAGGGAGGAGTTCTGATCAATTTTTAACCTAGTTGGAATTTTCTGGTCAGCTTCTATTCAGCGCTCATCCCCAGCGAATGCTGGGTCTAGACAGAGAAAGAATGTCTAGGAACAGGAGCTGTATCTGCAGGGGCATTTAGATCATGGGGTGGCTAAAAATCCTAGGAGTGAATGGCGTGGTACGGTGTGGTGTGGTTAGGAAGCGCCTTGTCGGTTTCCTTCTTCCAACTAGCTTCAAACACTTGGACTCCACTTGCACTACAAGGATTTCCAACCAGTGAGGACAATGAAAACAACTGGGACTTTGTTTTGGGAGGTGGTGGTGCTGGAATTCAGTGGTGCTGGAGGTAGAAGGAGGTGGACTGTTTTCTGGGATGCTTTTTGCAAACCCTTAGGAGGGAGGTTAGGAGTTGAGAAAAATCAGAGTCATGATTCAGTTTTAAGGAAACTGGCCTCAATGCTCTTGCTTTTTCCCAGGTTTTTTTTTTTCCTTCTTAGACTCAGAAATAAGTGTCCTCACTGGCATATATGTCTTGGCCTTTTCAGCTGTGTATAAGTGATCTCTGTTCCTTGCCTGGAGTAGACAGTAAGTCGCATTGGCTAAGACCATGCAGTGGTCTTCGTTGCTATTAGGATGTTCTTTTCATATTTAAGGGAGGGGGAAAACTCTCTGGAATCCTTTCAAGTTCTTGCTGAAGTTGTTTGGGATGCAGGAAGGCAATTAGTGTGGTTTATTACCTTGTAAGAGGGTCATAAATTAAGGGCCTATGGGGGGTGTCTATTGGAGGACTGGGGTAGCCCTCAGAACCCTCTCTTTGCATGGAGCTGCTGCTGAACACGAAATGATTTCTTTGTTCTTTGGAGGATTGCCCCTTTTAAGCTATTCACAAACAGGGAGTTTCAGAAAAGTCAGTTTATCTGTGTATTTTCCAGGCCTAAATCTTTTCTGACATTTCCCCCCCCCCCATCAGTTTGTGACTTCTTTGCAATTCATGATAAGTCAGTGTCTGTGATGATATGATTGGTATTCTAAGTTTGATTTGCATCTGGTAGCAAGTGAAGCACGTTAGGCGACCTAAATGTCACTTTTATCAGCTACTCTGTGTCGTGTGCCTGCACCCAAATATACTTAGTGTATCAGTTATCAGCAGCCTTCCCATTGTAATGTTCTCATTGTATCAGGAAATAGCTTCAGGAATCTACTGTACCCTTCAGCACCCAGAAAATTTAGAGTCCAAATGCATTGCAGATGTGTTTGCAAAACCAATCCTAATGAATAATGGTGGTTCTCTCCCCCCTCTAAGGAGAACAGGAGAGCCTTCTTTACCTGGGGCTTAGGGAGAGAGAGAGAGAGAGAGAGAGAGAGAGAGAGAGAGAGAGAGAGAGGAGAGGGGAGAGGAAGAGACAGAGAGACAGAGACAGAGACAGAGAAAATTGGGAAATCAAATCATCATATTTGAATGTGAAAATCTTCTGAAAATCTTCTTTCTAAATATTAACCAAAGTCCTCCCTTATTAGTTCCCTGCCCTTTACAAAGCAGCTCTGTTTTGTTGTTGTTGTTATTTCATTTGCCTGGACCATACTTAAGTATTCCTCACTCACTCCAGTCCCAGATGGCCAAAAGAGTTTAGTTCTAGGAAAATGTAGAAGTTTGGGAGTGGGGGTTAGTTATTGTTGAAAGATGGAATATAAATTTGAGGGGGGCAGACCCTTCCCCCTGCTCAGTCTGCCCCAGGGGTAGTGCAGTGGGATGGAAGGGGACAAGGCTGAAATCTTTCCTCTCTTCTCTTCCATTGAAATTGAGTATGATACATCATCATAGTCTTTTCCTAGGAAATGAGTTGTAGTGCCCAGTGAAAAGAGATTGCTAACTTTCAGTTGGATTTTCCTTGTCAACTGAAGTCTAGGCCACTGGGAAGTAGTGAGAGCATTATCCTTTTTGCTAAAGTGTGCCCTTAGGGAAACCATTTTCCCTTCGAGTTCTACTTCCTTGAAAGTCCTTAGACATCCCCTTCTAGTTCTTACAAACTGGCCCCACTCCACTCCAAGATGTTAATTGTTAAACAGAAGTTTGGGTATTAACTTAGTGGTTAACAGAAATGAAGACCTTCTGGGGGCCTGAGTTGGGAAACCCAGCCCCTTTCACTAGCATTAAGGCATTTAGCTGAAGATGTACCTCTGACTTAGGATGGTGATTTATGATTGTAGGAGTTTCTGTTTGCTTAGGATTCTAAGGTCTGAAAGCACCCCCCCTCCCCCCTTTGGGATACACTGTAGTGGAGAACGCTTTTTGTTTTGTTTTATTAAGGCTCAGTACTCTTTCCAGGCTCATATTCCATTTCGAGGGCTTGGCAAGCCCTCAGGATTTAGGAGAATGTGGGGTGGAGAGATGAGGGTTTCACTATCTTTCCTGGGAGTGGAGTGAGCTCTTTCTTTCTTTCTTTTTTTTTTAAATCAACCTTAAATCCCAGCTGTGATCATTTTCACTTTCAGTTCACTCCTGCAGCTGGACTGAGTCGGTCTAGTTAAATCAGAATATCCCATGGAAGCACAGAAGGGCTTAGGCAAGAAAAGGAGGTTACTAGCTGAGCACACTCACTTTCACTAAAGGTAGGGGTAGGCTTCAGGGTAAGGCTCTTCTCTTTGAATGTCCAGATGACTTGTTTACCAGGCTGGTTATGCCATAATTACAGCTGTATAGATTCAGTTCCCTTCTATTCCTCTGGGGAAGAAAAGAGAAATAATATGGAGTCTGGTTACTAAAATTGGGTCCTGTTTACAGATAGGAAGGCAAAAAAAGGAGGGTGGGCAAAAGAGTACAAAAATGGAGTCCAGGGACTTACTAGCTGTTTTCCCAAAGCTAAAGGAGAAAGGGTTAAGAAGGGCATTGGCGATATTTTCCTAGTTAAACCCAGGTCACTGAGTGTTAGAGCCAGAGCAGTAGGGACCCAAGTGTCACCAGACTGGACGGATGGGATCTGGAAGCCTTAGAGCCTTGTATGGACCTCATTTGGCTATGGCAACCTCAGTTACTTTAGTTCATTTTCTTTGTTGTTGGATAAAGCGTTATGGATGTTGGAAAGGACTAAACAGTCTTAAGGGAAACCCTTTGGATATTCATGCAGATAAGGCACCAGCTTGTTTTCTAGGTTAACTCAAGGGACACAAGTGAAGGTTGGTTGTTTTTTTTTTTTCCTCTTGGACAATTAGATCATTGCCTCCCCGCCCCCCTTTGCATTTTTCATCGTTAGAAACCTATAATTTCGTGTAGCACTCAGCCTGTGCATAGGAAATGCGTAAGCCCAGGTTGAACGGGGATGGTCCCTACAGATTTTGAAAAATTCAGATCCACCGCACCGGAGTCAGGCACATCCTTCAGAGCCTGGACTCCCACAACTCCAGACGTCTCAGCTTCCAGGAGCCTCGTCTGCCTTTGTCAGGTAAATTATGGGCCCTTTCAGCCACCCGGGCTGCCGGTTGTACAGCGTGGGTGTGGAGCAAGTTCCACACAATAGCGGTAGAGTGAAGTCTGTGGGGACGCTGGTCTGGCAATCAAGTGACTCATTAAGGAGTTTCCTTATCGAAAGCAAGAGATCAGCTTTTTGATTTGTTATTGGAGCAAGTACCAGATGAGGCTCTGGCCCTGCAAAAGATGCGGGGTGGCCTTTGCTTACCAGTGGAGCAGGGGCTCTTAGAAAAGTTGAGTGGACTCCTGAATGGGGCAAATCCTTTTTTTTTTTTTTTTAAAGTAACTCTGGTTGGAGTGAGTATGTGTAAAGAAATAGAAGTGGAGGGGGGGGGAGGCTGAAGAGTGGAGTGAGACTGTCCCTGTAGGAGTACCGCTTGGCACTCCGAACTTCCTGGCTGCTTTTGGCCAAGGCTGTCTTCCTTCCTTCCTTCCTTCCTTCCTTCCTTCCTTCCTTCCTTCCTTCCTTCCTTCCTTCCTTCCTTCCTTCTTTCTTTCTCTTTCTTTCTTTCTTTCTTTCTTTCTTTCTTTCTTTCTTTCTTTCTTTTGTCTGTCTGTCTGTTTCTCTCTCCTTCCCCCCCACCCCAGGGTTCTATTCTGCTTGAAAACCTAGTTCTTTAAATGATTCACTATTTCAAATAAAAGGATTTAAGTTGACGCGTGACCACGTGAGCACATAATGCAGAGCATTATTGTGGCATTTGGAGCGGACACCGAGGTGGGCTTCGTCTGTGATTACGTGATCCCAGATTCTGTTTAGAACGAGAGCTTTCTTCTCTCCCCCCCTCCCTGTCCTACCCCCCCCCCCCCCCCTCCTCCCCCCCCCCCCCCCCTCCCCCCCCCC